ATTGCCGACTGTTGGAAAGGCGTCATTATCACATCAATCCCAAAAAAGACTCAAACAAATAGCGACCAATTGCTTGCATTTCGATAGGCTTAAAGGTGTTCGAAAAATGCATTCTTGAAAGGATGTTGACAAGAAAACAGTCAGATGAATCCATTCAGTTAGAATACTGCTGCTCGCTCAGTTCAGAACAGGTAACAGGCCATCTGTGCTGGATCTTGTGCTTGCCAACGAGCAGCATATGATTGATGTGTTGGTTTTATACCGCCCGTCGGGTTGCAGTGATCATGCAATCATCAGTGTCAACTTTGTTAGCTGTGCGGAACATCGGAATGAGAACAATGAGACTGTGCGAACCACCATAAGCTAGGATCGATTAGCTTAGGTCGTCAGTGCCACAACTTGATCGTTCCTTGACGAAGAACCCCCGGAAGTCACCTGGCTCGAGTTCGTCAACAAATTCAGTCAGCTAATTGCAGAGGCTTCATAGAAAGGCCCTTGCAATAAGTGTACATCAATTTATTACGTTATGAGGAGAACACGAAAATGAATGACAGTACGCAAAGCAGCGTGGCAAGTGTACAGTGAAGCTCCAGCACCAGAAACTTGGAACAACTACGTAGCCCAACGTAACCACTGTACTTAACTGCTAAGAGAAAACAAAGCCGCCTATCAGCAGAACATCGCAAAGGCCTTCAAACTGTTGTACAAGTGGGTCAATAGCCTAAGAAATTTGAGGCAGGGGTTTCCTTAACTCAAGATGGCTGATGGCCCAACAAACGCGCCTGTGGAAGCAACAAACGCGATGCGGATGCAATATGCCTCACGCTTCAGAGAGTCTTGCTACCAAGTGATCTTCCAATATTTGTCTGCTCCTCGCCAGGACTCAGCAATATCACCTTTACCGCGGAGGATGTATTACAAAAGCTGACGACTTTACGCAAACACAGCTCGCCGGGTGTCGAGACCATCCGTCCAGAGGCATTGGAAGTAACAGCAATCAAAGTGGCAGGATCTTTATCACAATTTTTCCAGCGCTGCTTGGACCAGAATCAAGTTCCCACTATGTAAAAGATTGGAATAATAACCCCGATTCACAAAGGTGGAGGCAGAACTGATCCCTCCAAGTACCACCTAGTATCCCTTCTTTCTATACTCTCCAAGCTTACGGAATCCATAGTTACCGATGCACTGGTGTGCAATCTGGAAAACTGCAATATCATAAAGCCTGAGCAGCACGGTTTCCGCCGACAGCGGTCATGTACAACGAATTTACCAACCGCACGCAGTAATTGGACCGAGGCAGCTGACGTTGGAGAAGAGGTTGATGTGATGTACCTGGATTATTCCAAGACTTCGATAGTCTAGACCATCGGATGCTACTCTCCAAGCTTCAGCATTACAAAATCGGTGACCCTCTTTTAAGCTGGATTGCCAACTTTCTGCTTCAACGTCAATTAGTGGTCAGATCTCGGAGCTCTTTATCGAACCCCATACAAGTTGAGTGTGGTGTGCCACAAGACTCAGTTCTCGGTCCACGTATATTTTGGTGTTTATTAATGACCTTGCACAAGGAATCGCTTCAAACTTCCTAATTTTTGCCGACTATATCAAGATCTAGCACAGGATTCAGATAAATGTCCACCAGCGTCTGTTTCAGCGAAACCTGCACACGGTACATCATTGGTCAATCCATAGCTTACTGCATTTCAACATGAGTATATGCAAGGTAGTTTCCATCCGACATCAGAGCAGCTACTCATACCGGTTCGGAACCACCGTACTGTAACAATCAACTGTCGAACGTGACTTAGGTGTCCTGGTTCAACATGACTTGGCTTGCTCCAGGCAAGCAGAAAAGGCCTCAAAGACTGGGAGCCAACACATCGGGCTGTTGCATCGGGCGTTTGGACAAATAAACAGCTCAATATTTTGACAAGTGCTCAGTAAGTATGTTCGCCCCCATGTCGAATACGCAATTCAAGCCTGGTATCCATGGCTGAAACATGACCTTAATACACTGAAGCAGCCACAACTTCGGGCATCTAAAAAGATAATTGGAATGTGCAATCTTTCATACCACGTGAGGCTGCAACTATTGCAGGGTATTCAGTGGAAGCTATCGCAGACTACGAGGCGACCTGGTTGTGGCATACTTGCTTCTGCAAGACCCACATCATGTGTACCGCCCTGTACTGCAACTCAGCAGCAATGCAAACCTGAGCGGCCACTCATTGAAACTCTCTGTACAGTATAGCCGTCAGGGGTGACGCAGAACTTTCTTTTCCTTTCTCGTCTGTCACCCGTAGAATGCACTCCCAGAATCGATTGTCTCTGCACCGACACTATCAGTATTCAAAAGACGGTTGGATGATGCACTCATCCACTTACACTTTGTCACTTAGCACTAGGTCTCCATTCTACACTTGAAGTTTGCCATGAGATTATTTGATGTTAACTGTGAGTGCTGTGAATCTAAGCAGATTGCATGTCTACAGGGGAGCAAAAGATTGGTCCTTATTTTCAGTTTTAAAGCACTAACTGTTTTACTAGCATTATTACCACTATTTTCATGTCGATATCCTCACTAAATATCCAACGGGACTTGTAAAGCAACACTTCCTAACCCGTAAAAACTCATTGTTCATTGTTCCTAATCATAAACACCGGTGTTCTTCAGGAGGTATTCTGTCACTATTTCTATGTATCACTTATCACCTTAGTACATACTCCTGGGGAATCGACCCAGTTGTAGTACGCAGATGACATTATTCGGGAAATGAATCAGCCAGGCTACATGATATGCTTATCGGTCTCACGTTTTGATCGAAAACCCGCGAGCTGTCAGTTAGCGTGTCATAGTGTAATGATGTCGTTTTTCACTGCACAGAGCAAACCGGCATCAACAAATGCACCAGCTTTGGTGGAACTCCATAGATGGGGAGGGATTGTACGCCTCCACATCAGTAAAATATTGCGATGATATGCTTAGCTATGACTTATTTTGTTCACAAAATATGAACGAAAGGTTCACAAAATTCAGACTATCGTTCTACGCCTCTCGTCTGAGAGCTTCTTCTGCTCCCATGATTTTTGCTACTTTGTTCTGTCACTACCTGTAATCTTCCACACTATACGTGCTGCTCTCCAGCGCTTTTTTTGTCTTCTAAGTAAGCACTTCAGACTCATCTCCAGGTCGTTAAAATGTGTAGTACGATGTAATGGTGTATCAAAATTGGCTTCCGTTGATATACTTGTGTCCACTCATTTTGGGTCTCGTAAAAGACTAGCGTCAACAGCAGTTTCCGGCACTGGTTACGAGCCGCGTTGTGAATTGTCGGCATGTTTGTCGACCTCATCAAGCAGCCAGAAGTACAAATCCGTAAACGCCCGAACAAAAGCTTACTGTTCCTTAGTTGTTCCTTATCGCGAGCGATTTCTGCTAAACCCTAACAAAATCATCCGAGAACTAACCAACTACATTCTACCATGTTCGCGTTGGGTTTTCGCTTTATTAATGCTTCATTTTTGATATAGGCAGAAATTCGTCACATCTAGATTCACGCAGACAGCCGCCACACCCCCGCAAATGCACTGTACGCGCGTTTCATCCTTTCGCGAATCATCAGCAGTGCGCATTCCATCGGACCATGGATAGGGCTCGAACCCGCATCTCGACTGTTGCCAGTCCGTGGTTGAGACCACTGAGCTACGGGGGACGGCAACGACTATCGTGCATAAGTTACTAAATGTGATATAGCGCCGCTCACTATCCACTGACTTGCACGTTACTGCCGTGCAGAGGACAGGGTAGCCCCCTCACCAAGCGACGAGCTTACCAAACTTAAGCCGCCAATGAACTTATGGCATTATAAGCAGTTTGGTCTGCGTACTGATTACAGAAGAGTAGTGGGGGGAGTTGAATGGTGTAGATAGAAATTCCTCACATCTAGACTCACTCAGTGGTCTCAACTACGGACTAGCAACAGTCGAGTGGCGGGTTCGAGCCTTACCAAGGGTCCGATGGAATGCGCACTGCTGACGATTCCCGAAAGGATGAAACACGCGTACAGTGCTTTTCCGGGCGTGTGGCTGCTGTCTGCGTGAGTCTACATGTGACGAATTTCTACCTACATCATTTTTGAATTGCATTTATGTCATGCTGCGTCGCTGAAAGCATGTGTGTTGTGACTGAATATTCACCCGTCGTGGGTGCATAAAGCAACTTATTGATTTGAGTTGACTTCTAACCAAACGGTCTCAAACCCGACTGTGGATTGTTTGCACGCAGGAGCCGTGGACTGCAGACTAAGCTAGATGAGTAAGTTGCATTTAGCAAGTAATTTTGTCAAATCACTTAGCAGTGAAAGGTGTATAACTGTGACGCAAGAGTCATGCACGAAGCCACAAGTATTCCTCGATAAACAGATGGGGAATCAAGCAGTCATGTGGGGAGCAAAGGTCAAGTTACAATAGAAATGTTAAGTTATGGAAACACAGAAATAAGTTCACAGTAGTTCAGTGTTAACTTTGCCACAAACACTGCACTGTTTCTGCAATGGATTGCACGCTACTACAAGCGAGACCTGAACAAACCCTTTTAGCTAGAAGTAAGTAGTAAATCGGCCAAATTTTGTACAGTTACTAATGATGACTACTGGTCTCGAGCAAAAGTTGCCCGTAATTGTGTGATAACATTAAAGTGATCATTTCACTAGGTAAATTGTTTGGCACGTGACTCGTCAACCTAGCGCTGATGTTGATATGGCTTTTCACAACCAGACTCGGTTCGACCTTTATTGCACCATTGAAAAAGCGCTTGACCACAGTTTAGGAACCAGCGGAATGTAAGTCGGCAGGATCCGATAAATGCATACTACTGCGACGGACCTTCTCAAGAAAGCTTAAAACCATTTACTACTTCCATTAAAATACACACGGAGCTACATAGTATTGTGCAGTACAGTAAGAGTATTGACAGTAGGATACCAGCTCAAGCTTACTTGAATCCAATAGGCTTGTGCTTGCAGTATTTCTGTGGGTTCCCGATGCAAATAATCTGAAGCTTCTCGTTCTCACCATCCTCCAGATGAGTAACTTTAGGTCTCGACTCTGCTCCAAACCACAGTACCGCTGAAAGTACTGGCAAGAATCGTATCAACTGAGGAAATCTGATCATAGTCAGGTTGTCTGTCATTTGGAGAAGCTCGCTTTTATACTACTACCTTTTGCGCATAACTCAACACACGGTGGTCACCGTAAATTACTTACCCGCAGCCTATTTGACAAATTGTCATCCGAGGAGCTAACGTTTCTATAGTCATTCCATTAATCATATGCTACTGAGTGGTAGTGTTATTCCCAAAGAAATATAACCAATTATGCGGGTGTTAGTATGTGCGAACGTGCAAGTAGGTGAAGCCTACAGTGACGATTCGTACTTCTAACCTGTGACCATTCATGAGACTGACTGACATAATGCCATTTTTCATTCATCTAAATTGTCTTATGCTGATCTTACAAATCTTTTACTTGCTCAACAAGTTGAAACAATCTTCTGGCAGCTGAGTGCTATAACATGAGGTGCAGATGAGGTCCTTAGCAAACTACGTTAGTAAAATCCAAAAACTGCGATCGGTTACCAGAATGTCACAATTTGCGTTTTCACGACTAATGCTAACAAACCACTACGCAGTAGTTTCTACTGAGGCTAGTCACACCAGCGTTGTGACTATACCTTTTGAATGTCGAGTAGTTATTTCACCAATACATTGGGCCCCAGTGCTACAAGCAGCTAAAAATGGTGACTGTCACCTTTAAGCTTAGAGCACGGGAGATCCATGAGCATCAGTGCGCCAGATAGTCGAATTAGAGGATTGTGAGGTCCATATACTCTTGAATTGTGCCCTATGCTGAGGCTGATGTTGCATTCATAATGCTTCTTCACCGCAGTTGGGCTGAACCAACTTACACTTAAACTAGGTCTTTTTAATGTGGATAAATTTCATTCCACTTTATTTGGTTTGTTCTGGCTACCTGACTAACCTGCTATTAACTGGCCACGTTGCTTACGCTAAAGGTGGCTATTTTCGTTAACTTTATTGTGTTTGTGGCAATTTGGGTAAATTCTGAACATTTTGTACTTGCCGCGGATTCGTTGCTAACCAACTTAATTCATATGCTAATTTAGGGTAATGTCTGCATAGCCGTATTCTTTAAAAAATATCTTTTATTTGATAAGGTCATTTCAAGTGATTGGCTGTTGTTTGACATCCCCGGTGTGGCTGCGCTTGATGTGCATGTTGACAAGGTGCCTTCCTGTCTATTAACCAATAACTCGTCCATACAGGCTCCAGGAGACAATTGATCGTTGCTAGAGAGGACAGGTGCACCCTCCTTGTGGTTGTGCTAAGCTCGAATAGTGGTTCCATGCCGTCATTTTAAAGCGGACTGCGGTCCAGCCACCGCCATTTTGTGTGCTTGATTCCCCAAATACAGCGTGCTTGTGTTTGCCGATAATGGAGTGTGGGCCGGCTCCGTTGATGAAACGTGGCTCCGATCCACATGCCTCCCGGTCTTATTCCTTCGGGTTTACACTGGATATGGGGTATGTGGTTGGAGCTGTGGGTGGTGCAGCGCAAGCCATCCACGGTCCCTCTGTAGGCGCAGGCGTCCTGTGGCTTGCCACAGTGACAGGCAAATCCGAAACCGGATGCCGCCAGCCATATATATAAATATATATATATATATATATATATATATATATATATATATGCTTGGTGACATCCGATTTGGTATTTGTCTGTCTCTGTGACCAGCCAAAAAACGCCTGTGCTTACAGAGGGACCATGGATGGCTTGCACTGAAACTCTCACAGTTCCATCCACACACCCTATATCCAGTGGAAACCCGAAGGAATAAGACCAGGAGGCATGTGGATGGGTGTCACGTTTCTTCAACGGAGCCGGCCCACATTCCAACTGTATCCTAGACACAGTATAGACGAAGTGGTGGGTAACAGACGGGTATGCATCTTGTCAACATGCACATCAAGCGCAGCCGCACCGGGGATATCAACCAACAGACAATCACGTGAAACGACGATATCAAGTAAAATAAATCGAATAATGCATGCAGATATACCGTTATAGCTCTTTAATAAATGAGCATGTGAAATAAATTGGTTTCCAACGAATCGGCGATAGGTACTTGACGTCAGAAAGTATATTTTAGGGAAATGACACAAACGCGAAAATCTTGTCGAAGTCAGTTACGATTAGTTCCATTGACGTTTGCAAGTTAATTGAAGATAGTTTAGGTAGACAGTAACACAAGATAAAAGATAGCATTCGAACAATATTTCAAACCCACCACCTGAAATAAAGAGGCAAACACACGTTAGTAAACCGAATGCAGCCTACCCAAAAAAGGTGCGACGGTACTGCTTACTTTCTCAGCAGGACCCATCGTCTTTTTGGTGTTGACCCCGACTAGCCTCGCTCATGGCTGACTAGGCCTGCCTGACACAGCCAATCGCGACTGCATGTGCTACTACACAACGCGATCGATGTCGACGGAATACAACCCATCGGCGTCTGACGCTTCCGCACCTGCCGTTTCTTCTCCGCATGAATGTGGGCTTTTCCTGTACCTCGGGTAACGCCTTCGTGATCAGATCGCGCCATGCATGCCGATCAATCACAGTCGATTCCCATGACCTGCAAACAAAACTAGAACCTGCTAGACTCCTGGTAACGAAGCTTCCGTTTCCCCACATACCGTTTCCCAATACGCTGCTGATCATATAGTAGTTGTTTCGGTATCCGCATCGAATCCATACGGCCCATATGACCGAGCCAACTCAGGTGTCTTAGCAAAAGTATGCAGTCCACTGCGTACATTCCACTTCGACGCAACACTTCCGTGTCCGCAACTCAGTCGCCGCAACAGATGCAGCGAATCCGTCGAAAACATTGTCGATGGAACCGCTCGAGATATCGCACATCCCGCCGACACATCGTCCACGTTTCACTGCCGTATAGAAGAACGCACAGCACCATGTTTTGTGCCCCATCAGCTTCGTGCTAATGGTAAGCTGATGGTTGTTCCACACTTGGTACTCAAGCTTCCAGAATGTCGCCGCTGCGTACGAGACGCGCATACGCAGCTCACTGTAAAGGTGCTGGTCAGTGGACATCACACTCCCAAGGTAGCAGAAGCGGGCGTTGGTTTTCAGTACTTCAGCACCAAGACTGATTCGCAGCAATATTGAAGATTGCACCTCCGGTGAAGGCTGTAGGAGGCAGACAGTTTTGCTTGTCTTGATGGTGAGCCCGAATTTGGCCGATTGTCGAAGCCAGAGCACTAGTCATGTGCTATAAATCATCCGCTCTGTGTGCAAGTAAGACACTGTGGTCAGCGAACAGCAGTATACGGACAGATGCCTCACAGACTAGAGTTCTCGCACCGAAAAGACGTATGTTCAGCAACCCACCATAAATACGGTGCTCTACATGAACACTGTACGCACAAGCGGCATCAAAAGCACAAGATATTATTGTATGAAGATAAATAGTAAACAGCTCAGGTGCTTAGACACAGTCTTGCTTCACACCAGCGACAACTGCAAAGTCATCTGAGGTCTCTCCACTCAGCTGTACCCTCGCCGCCATACCACCGTGCAGAAATACAATTAAACTTACAAACTTACTCGGGCAACCAAACTTTCCCAACACCAGCCACAATGTCTTGCGGTTCACCGTATCAAATGCCTTGGTGAAATCAACAAAAAGCGAGTACTACGGCTGATGTCGTTCTCTGCACTTCTCATGCAACGGACGAGCCGCGAACACCATATCTATAGTGCTATGACTCAAACGGAATCCACACTACATCTCTGCCACCTTACTTTCCACAATCTGACTGACGAGGCGGTTGAGTAGGATCCGGGCAATCACATTGCCCACACAACTCAGTAAGTGGATGCCACTATAATTCGTGCAACATCGCTTGCTCCCTTTGCCCTTGTACAGTGGTAGCACAACGGCATCCTTTTGTTCAGTAGGCACCTCCTCCTCAATCCACACGCGTTGCACCAAGTGGTGCAGCGCAGTCACCAACGCCGTCCCGTCGTGTTTCAATACTTCAGGCAAGATCCCGTCGGCCCCGGCTCACTTGCCGTTCCGCAGCTGAACAAGTGTTCTCTGCGTCTCCTCCAGTGTCCGCGTGTCCGCCAGACTTGCCTTCACATAGTGCTGCTCCAGGCCGTCCAATGTAAGCCAATCGACCTCTGAACGGTTGTTCAAGAGACACTCAAAATTTATCCGCATGATCTGCATTATGCCTACGGTATGTGTGCAGGTAGAGCCTGAACTACCATCGATTAGCCTCCTTAGCTGCTCCAATCTCGGTCCATACACCGCCTTCAAGGAGTCAAAGAATTCCTTGTGTTGGCGGCGTTCGGCGTAGCATTCCATCTGTTTCACCTTCTCCGTTCACTATGCATTTTTAATGCGGCGGAACTCTCAGGCCAGTCATCGTCGAATACTGCCAAGCTGACGCTTCTTCCCTAAGTCACTGGGGACTGCGACGTACGCAGTAAATGCTGCATTCTTCGCCGACACCAATGCGCCAATGTTCTCATCAAACTAATCAGGAAGCTTACATTTGGCGCGCCCGATGGTCGCCTAGGCAGCAGGTGTCACTTGGTCGCTAATGTGATTCAATAGTTTGACTGTTCAAGCTTGTATCATGGGATGCAAAACATAACTTTACTAGACCCACAGGATAGATACACAAAAGAAACTTAAAAGCAAAATGTTCCATGGTGGAACGTGAAGTATCAGCGGTTAAACCATTGCACTTTATCAAACTGTTGTGTAGCGTTTATCATTAAGATGAAAGCCCAAGGGTCTTTCGAATGTCATGTCTGGTGCGTTCGCCACATATCTTGGTAATGCACTCCAATTAGAACAGATTCAAAGGGAGTAAAAATGCTTACTACAGTTTAGACAAGAGGGTTGCTTCATTAGTCTCAGATGGTTGCCTCGGCTTTGTTTGTAAGGGGCTAGGGTTAACAGTGATGTACATGGATGCTCGCTTTCGGTTAATATCCGGTATGTGAGAGTAAGATCTCCGCGAAGCCCTCGGTATTCTGCGGAGAACACATCGAGTACTCGAAGAGGCAG